TGAGCGAATCGAATCTAACAGGGATGATTGTGCCATGCTTGAGCGGAAAATCGTTTCACAACACAACACATAATCTGTAACATGCCGCAGCATGCCATAACATACCATGCCAGATCGGGGCATACCATAACACCGCAGCACACATAACACATACCTACTATGACAGAGCAGGACACCACAGAGTATACCATAGCATAGCAGAACGTACCATAGCATAAGTGTTCTAATACTGCTATCACCATGGCAGCGTGTATGCGTAACAAAGATAATGCCATCACAAACCAGCTCATAACATAGCATGGCGCGATACCAGCTAATCGTAAGCTCTATAGCCGAACAGAACAGGAGAGCAATCCACAACAACATTGCCCCATATATTTTAGAACATTCAGCGAGGTAGCATATCTGACAATGACGATGCATAACACCTTAACACACATAACATACAACCATGGAGCATACACTATGCAATGGAACTGTGAGTACTGATGTACAACAACGAATAGCTGGAGTGCAATAGCACAGTAAGCGTGGAAGACCATAAAAAACATACAAGTCAGTACAAGTGTAACTCTGATATCAGCTTCAGACTACCATAGAAGAACAGGTCTGCAGTAGATTAGGGTCGGCTACGTACCCGAACACAAACGGACATACTGTAACACAGCAGTGCTTACAATAATACAGTTTATTTTTCGAACAAGCGAGCGTGACACAACATAGGAGGACCGAGTGATAGCCCATACTCGCGCATAGCTGAAACTGACACAAGCAAATGCATCAACGACTGACTAGCGGCGACCTTTCAAACGCGCCGTGCGCGCCAAGGGCAGGCTATCCGCAGGAACAAACATGCGCAACAACGACATATTGGACGGTGAAGCAGACGTGATAAGCGTCACGGCGTAACGCGGGCCCCTCGAAAGCGTAACGTAATCTAATAAAGTCTACCAGCATGAAACATAAATTTATCGAACGCAATTGAACACTGTTGAATACAGCAACGACCGAATGACGGCGCCCTATCAAACGCAATATGCGAGCCGGCATAAGGCTGGCCACACGAGTAAGCCACGTGTGAATCTAACAAGCCATAGCCGCAGCCGCACAGACCGTGATAGAGCAGAATGCAGCAGCGACCGCGCAACGGCGCCTTCTCAAGAGCGACATGCGCGCCGAGCTCAGGCTGGCCACAGTAGCCAGACCCCCGACGTCATGATTTTTTCATGACGCGACCCCCAGAGGTCCCGACCCATTCCCCGGGACCGGTTTTTCGTCCTGAGTCGTTTTTTGACGGTCCCGAGGCCCGGCGAAGGCCCCCGAAGGGCCGAAAATAGCGAAAAACCTCCCGTCGTGATTTTTTCACGACGCGAGGAGGTCTGGGTAGCAAGCAACAGTCGCCAGACTCGGCTCGGGAACAGACGCCGCAGACCCCGGTGGGGATCGCTCGAAGTGCTCCTGCTCCTCCACCTCCGGCCCCGGGGGCCGTCGCTCCGGGCGAAGAGGCCCGCCCCGGGGGGGAGGAGAACCAGACCTCCGCGGGCTCCGGCCGTGCAGGGAGCCGCGGCACGCCGCAGGTCTTGCCCCCCCCCCCCCCCATACCCCACGCCCTACGCCTTCCCCAAAAACACGCCTCGCCGGGGGGCTCCGAGCCCTCCCACGCGAAGCCCTCTCCCCCACCCACCCACCTCGGAGGTCCGCCCCAGGCCTCCGACGCCGCGAGGCTTCTGTTCGTTCCGGCCGCGCCCTCCAGAGGTCTGGGGCCCCGTCCCCGGGGCTGAGCATGACTCCTGTGATGGCGCCCGGGGGGCTCGGCGAGGCCCCCCCCCCCCGGAGATCGAGGATGGCCCAGAGCTAGGCTGCTCCCATCGTACTCGAAGGACCAGCTCCTAAAAAGGATTTCGAGCACCCCGAGAGAGGTATCGAGACGGTGTCGAACGAGCATCGCCCCCCAGAGCCCGACACGTGAAAACCCTCCAGTTTCGGCCCTTTCTTGGTGCTCGAACTTCTTTCTGGTAGCTCAGGCTAAAATCGGAGCCCAGAACCGTCCTCGTCGTGCTGTTGCTGCTGTGCCGTTTCGCACCGCGAGGGGAGGTCTGGGTCCTGCGAGCCGCCAGATGGGCGACGACGAGGAGCAGGGCCTCACGCACGATGCCGCGGCGGCCCGACGCGGTGGCTCCCGCGGGCCGCCAGCGAAGCACTCCAGCTTGCAAGCGAGGGCGCTCACGTGCGACCTTAGTGCGGGCAACTTGCGCGCGGAAGTCCGCGCCAGCGGGCCGGTCTTTCCGAGCCGCTCCGCTGCCCGCCCCCGTCGAGGATCTGCTGACCTGGGTCAGTCCACGCCGGGTCAATCAGGCGTTGCAGGACCCTGCAAGACCCTGCAAGATCCTGCGGGATCCTGCACCCAAGCCCGGGCCAATGCAACCCTGGCTCTGCAGAATCCTGCAAGATCCGGCGCTCTGACTGAACTCCCGTTTGCACTGGCCGCCGTCTCTTGAGCCCCGACCGCCCAGACATGCGACGTCCTGATTTTTTCCCACATCCAAGGTGGGGTTCTTGTTTTCTCTGGACACCCTCCGCGCAAGAACCTCACCTCCCTCCCACTCTCTGCCTCACTCACGCATTCACCCCGTCACCGGTCATCATCACCATCGGTCATCATCATCATCATCATCATCATCATCATCATCATCATCATCATCATCATCATCATCATCATCATCATCATCATCATAATCACAACCACCGTCATCACCATACTCAGTCACTCACCATCGATCACCAACACCATCGACCATCGATCACCATCATCATCAGCATCACCACCACCACCATCATTATCGTACCACCGACACATCATTTGCATCATCATCGCTCATTCTGGCATTCACTCACTCACTCACTCACTCACTCACTCACCCAGTCATTCGCTATCTGGAATGCGGGGGAAGTATCAGGCGGGAGGCTCGTCTGTGAGTGAATTGCGAGGAAGTCTCAAGCGGGAACCCCCTCCCTATGGGTCCCGCATTTCATGCTGGTAATCCGAACGGGTCATCCTCAAACCTGTAACTGTGGTCACTGTTGCGCTCCTTCTGCGGCCCGAATATGGAGGAAGTAGCAGGCGAGAGGCTCGTCTGTAACTGAATTGAAAGGGAGTCTCAGGCGGGAACCCCCTCCTTGTGGGTCCCGCACTTGGTAATCCGAGCGGGTCATCCTCGAGCCTATAATTGTCGTCACTTTTGGGCCCCTGGAACCTGATTGTAGGAAGTATCAAGCGGCAGCCTCGTTTGCGAGTGAATTACGAGGAAGTCTCCAGCGGGAGCCCCCTCCTTACGGGTCCCGCATTTCATGTTTTGAATCCGAACGGGTCATCTTCTAACCTGTATCTGTCGTTACGTTTGGGCTCCTGGAGCCTGAATATGGGGGAGATATCAGGCGGGAAACTCGTTTGTGAGTAATTTGCGAAGAAATCTCAGGCGGGAGCCCCCTCCGTATGGGTCCCGCGCTTCACGTTGGTAATCCGAGCGGGTCATCCTCAAACTTGTAACTGTGGTCATTCTTGGGCTCCTGAGGCTTGAATGTGGGGGAAGTATCAGGCGGGAGGCTCGTCTGTGAGTGAATTGCGAGGAAGTCTCAAGCGGGAACCCCCCTCCCTATGGGTCCCGCATTTCATACTGGTAATCCGAACGGGTCATCCTCAAACCTGTAACTGTGGTCACTGTTGCGCTCCTTCTGCGGCCCGAATATGGAGGAAGTAGCAGGCGAGAGGCTCGTCTGTGACTGAATTGCGAAGGGGTCTCAGGCGGGAACCCCCTCCTTGCGGGTCCCGCACTTGGTTTTGGTAATCCGAGCGGGTCATCATCGAACCTATACCTGTCGTCACGTTTGGGTTCCTGAAGCCTGACTATATAAGAAATATCAAGCGGCAGCCTCGTCTGTGAGTGAACTGTGAAAAAGTCCTAAGCGGGACCCCCCTCCTTACGGGTACCGCATTTCATGTTTTAAATCCGAGCGGGCCACCCTCGAACCTGGCAGCCGTCGTCACTTTGAGGTTCCTGAGGCCTGAATATGGGAGAAGTCTCAAGCGGCAGCGTCGTTTATGAGTGAATTGCGAAGAGGTCTCGTGCGGGAGCCCTCTCCCTGTGGGGCCCGCATTTTATACGTTTTAATTCGAACGGATCATCCTCGAACCTGTAACTGTCGTCACCTTTAGGCTCTTGAGGCCTGGATATGAAGGAAGTACCTGGCGGCAGCTTCGTCCGTGAGTGAACTGTGAGGAAGTCTCAAGCGGGAGCGCCTTGCGGAAGGCGCTCGAAAAGTTCGATGAGAGAGCAGAGGGTCCCAGGGATGGGGCCGAGCAGCTCGCCGCAGAGCTTGGCTTCGTGCTGCCTCCCGCCTGAGCGCGGCCGTGACTAGCTCGATGCCTGCGGGGTTGTCCCAACGGCTTGCTCCCGCGCCCCAGCGGCTCGCGCGGTTGTCCCAACGGCCTGGCCCGCGGGGTTGTCCCAACGGCCGCGCGACGCGGCCATTCTAGAATGCGCCCGCGCTGGCCGAGGCGGCGACGGCGTCGAGGAAAATCGACGCGCGCGCTCTTGCAGTAGACAGGGAGAGGAGGTGGTGGGTGACGAAACAAACAGCAGGAGGGCGAGGCAACGGCAACGCGGGGAGCGGGTGAGGGGTGAGGGCCCTGCGCTAGGGCGAGAATGCGAACGACGCAGAGAAGACAATAAGGGCGCCTCACTACTCGCGAGGACGACTGTGAAGGTCATTTCCAGATTGACCGAAAGGATTGTCATGCGTGGTCTTTCCGTCGGAGTAATTTCAATACGGGGTCCCTGGAAGTCACGACCCTTTCCCCGGGACCCGATCTTCATCCGGAGTCCTTGCTTGACGGTCCCAGGGCCCAGCGAGGGCCCCCCGAGGCCGAAAACTGACACAAAAAAACTCCCGCGCGCATTCTGCACGAAGCGATCATGGCTGGCCCCCGGTCGCCCTGCGAGTAGTTCTGGTAGCCCATGTTGAAGATCTGCGTGAACTCCTGGGCGGCCCCCGGGCGTGCGGAGGGGGCCCCATCGCTCGCTGACGTGATTGTTTGTGCGCTCTCCTCCCTCTGCTCCGGGCCAGCCTCGAGCTCAGCCCCGTCCCCGAGATCGGCAGGCCCAAGGCGATTACAGCAATACCATGGACGTGCCCCCAGAGCTGGAGGACGTTCTCAAGGGCGGGACCAGGAGATTCCTCTACTCTGCCCAGCTTCGGAGCTATCCCTGCCCCTGAAATCGGCCGGCCCGAGGCGATGGCCATGCTGGGGACGTGCCCTCAGACATGGAGGGAGTCCTCAAGATCGGCACCGAGATAGGGAGACTTCTCTGCTCTGCCCAGCCTCGGACCTATCCCTATCCCTGAGATCGGCAGGCCCAAGGCGATGACCATACTAGAGACATGCCCTCAGACATCGAGGGAGTCCTTAAGATCTGCACCGAAGTACGGAGATGCCACACGCAGGAGGCCCCGACCGCTTCCCCGACGATCGGTACGATGTTTGTCAGCTCGCGTTGCCAGCCCTCGAAGCCATCGCAAGCAGATCCGGGACGAAAGGCAGGGAAAGCCTACTGATTCTTCCGCGCCGACTTCTTCCGGGCCACTTCTTCCGACGACGACTTCTCCCCCGCCTCGTCGTACATCCTCCGCCTCCTCCTCCTACTCCTTTGTTTGTTCCTCCGTTTCCCTCGATCTGCTCTTCGACGGTCTCTTCCTAAAACAGTCTCTTCCTAGCACGGTTTCTTCCGCGACGACTTCTTCCGGACGACTTCTTCCGGACGACTTCTTCCGAACGACTTCTTCCGGACGACTTCTTCGGGACCACTTCTTCTGGACGAGTTCTCCCGGACCGCTTTTTCGGACGACGATTTCTTCCGAGATGATCTCTTCCGGACGACATCTTCCGAGGAGATTTCCGATGATGGTTTCTCCTTGGGCGACGTCCTCTGGGCGAGTTCTTCCGGAAGAACTCTTCTGGGCGACTTCTTCCGACGGTGACCTCATTCTGGGGCGCCTTCCTCCGGGCCCCTTCTTCCAGGCGAGTTCTTCTGGACGACTGCTTCCGAGGGTGAGCTCTGCCGATGCGACTTCTGCTGGCCCCCTCCTCGCTCCTCCTCCTCCTCCTCCTCCAACTCCCCGCTCTTCCTCACAGGCCTCCTATTCTCCTCTCATCCCTCCTCACTCCTCATTCCTCCTCCTGCCTCTTGCCTCCTCTCCCTTCTCTTCCCTCCTCCTTCCTGCCTCCTCCGTCTCACCTCCTCCTCCTCCTGTTCCCTCCGCCCTTCTCCTTCATGCTCCTTCCCTAGTCCCCCCCTCCCTCTTCGCTCCTCTCTCCTCTTCCCTCCTCCCTCGTCCCTCTACTCGGCGCGCGGCAAAGCGTGCGGGCCATAAAGTGAAACTATTCCACTATACTCGCCACGTGGCAAACGCCTGGGGGGGCGAACAAAAAGGTGCTACCCCACTCTCTTCGCGACGTGGCAAAGCTTGCGGGATTGACACAAATACTGTTCCGCACGAGTTGCCCGGTGGAAGCGACGGGGGAGCGAAACACAAACTGCTCCCCACCACGACTCGCCACGTGGCAACGCCTGCGAGGCGAAACGCGTATTTGTTCGCTCTACTCGTCACCAGGCCACACCGGGGGAGCGAGACAAATACTGCTCCACATTCCCTGCCACGAAGCAGCGCCTGCGGAGCGAAACAGAAATACTCCACTCGACTCGGCACGTGGCAACGCAGCGGGGCGGCAACAAATGGTACTCCTCTGTGCGCGCCGCATGGCAGCGTCACGTGGCAAGGCCTGAGAGGTACACACTAATACTATCCCACTCAACTCGCCACGTGGCAACGGCATGGGGAGCGAGCGAGAAGTAACAATACATTCAACTCATCACGTGGCAATGCCGCGCGGACCGTACATAGACAATCCCACTGCACTCGCCACATGGCGGCGTCTGGGGGATGGGGTGGAAGGGGGGGGGGGGGGGCAAGAATGAAGATTACATTATATTCGCCACGTGGCAACGCCACGGGGCGGGAACCCATAGAGCGCCAACCCGCTCGCTACGGGGCAACGACAGGCCGGCAAACAAAATACATACAATTTTGCGCGCAACGCTGCCATACCGCAAAATTATGTTGTATTCGACGTGGCAACGTCGCGGAGGCGAACACCGAATTCTACTCGGCCCGTGGCTCCAACTCGGAAGCAGACGACGATGACGACGACGACGGCAATGACGAGAACGACGACGACGACGACAGACGACGATGACGACGACGGGCGACGATGCCGACGAACACGGCGACGACGACGACGGCGACGATGACGACGACTACAATGACAACGACAATTCGAACGACAATGGAAACGACCACATCGATGACGACGACGATGACGATGATCATGGTGATGATGATGATGATGATGATGATGATGATGATGATGATGATGATGATGATGATGATGATGATGATGATGATGATGATGATGACAGCCACGCCGCCGCCGCGACCGCCGCCACCGCCGCCCGCCAGCCTGCCCGCCCGGCGCGCCCGCCCGCGCGCGCGCCCGCTCGCGCACGCTACGTGGCTACGCCGGGGGAGTGAAACAGATACTGCTCCACTCTCTGTTCCACGTGGCAACGCTCGAGGGGCGGAAACTAATGCTCCACTGTACTTGCCACGTGGCAGCGCCTGAGCACGTGGCAACGAAGAAACCCGGGAACTCACGCTACTCAATTCTACTCGCCACGTGGCAACGCCACGTGGCAATACCTGACCCGTGAGACAAACAGAAATACTCTCCCACTCAACTCGCCACGTGGCAATGACGCGGGGAACAAACAAGGAAAATACCTCCGCTCTACCCATCACGCGGCAATACCGCGGCGCAATCTTCCGGGCGATTTCTTCCGACAGGAGTCCTGCCGGGGCGACTTCATCCGGGCGACATGGGGAGCGAACGAGAAGTATAAAGAATCACGTGGCAATGCCGCGCAGACCAAGACCATTATACAATCCCACTGTATTCGCCGCGTTGCAGCGTCCAGGGCGGCGAAAATACATGTTCCATTCTATTCGCCACGTGGCAACGCCGCAGGGCTGGAACACGTAAAGCGTAAAGCGCCACTCCGTTCGCAGTGGGGCAACGACAGGCCGGCGAACAAGATGCAACACAATTTTGCGCGCAACATTGCCATACCGCACAATTATCTTGCACTCGACGCGGCAACGCCGCGGAGGCGAACGCCACAATCTACTCGGCACGTGGCTCCAACGCGGACGACGACGACGACGATGACGACGACAACGACGAGACCGACGACGACGACTTATGACAAACGACGACGGGCGACGATGACGACGACGACGGCGATGGCAACGGCAATGACGACATCGACGACGACGACGACGACGACGACGATGATGATGATGATGATGATGATAATGATAATGATGATGATGATGATGATGATGATGATGATGATGATGATGATGATGATGATGATGATGATGATAGTGATGACGATGCGGATGATGATGATGATGATGATGATGATGATGATGATGATGAAAACGATGGCAATTGTGATGGCGATGGTGATGGTGATGGTGATGATAATGATGATGATGATGATGATGATGATGATGATGATGATGATGATGATGATGATGATGATGATGATGATGATGATGATGATGATGATGATGATGATGATGATGATTGCAACGACGCCGCCGCAGCAGCGGCCGGCGCCGCCCGCCAGCCAGCCTGCCCGCCTGCCCGCCCGCCCGCCCACCCGCGCGCTCGCCCGCCCGCCCGCCCGCGCGCTCGCGCCCGCTCGCGCACGCCACGTGGCTACGCCGGGGGAGCGAAACAGACACTGTTCCACACTCCGTTTCACGTGGCAACGCTCGGAGGAGGAAACGGGGAAACAACTAAGACTCCACTTTACTCGCCACTTGGCAGCGCCTGAGCAAGTGGCATCGAAGCGGGCCGTGAACTCATGCTAGTCCACTCTCCTCGCCGCATGGCAACGCCACGCGGTAATGCCAGATAAGCAAGCAAACATACTATCCAACTCCACTCCAGGTGGCAATGACATCGTTCATCCTCCACGTCTCTTCCTCGTTCCTCCTCGTCCTCCTCGTCCTCCATTCGATCCTCACACCTCCCCTTCCCCCTCTCCTCGCTATTCCTCCCAAGCCTTCTATCCTCCTCTCCTCCTCCTCCTGCCTGTTGCCTCCTCTCCCTGCTTCTCCGTCCTGCCTCCTCCCTCCTCCCTCCCTCCTCTCACCTCCTCCTCCTGCTCCCTCCGCCCTCCTCCCTCCTGCCTCCTCCCTACTCCCCCCCCCCATCCATGCTCGCTCCTCGGTCCTCTTCCCTCCTCCCTCGGCCCTTTGCTCGCCACGCGGCAATGCCTGCGGAGCGGACGCTGAAACTGTTCCACTGCACTCGCCACGTGGCAAACGCCTGGGGGGGGGGGGCGAGCGAATGTGCTATTCCACTCCTCATTGCGACGTGGCAGCGCCTGCAGAACTGACAAAGTATTGTTCCGCGCGGGTTGCCAAGTGGAAGCAACTGGGGAGCGAAAAGCAGACTGCTCCACTCCACGACTCGCCACGTGGGAACGCCTGCGAGGCGGAGCGCATATTTCACTCTACTCGCCACGTGGCAACACTAGGGAAGCGAAACAAATGTTGCTCAACTCCCCCTGCCACGTGGCAGCGCTGGGAGGGGGGAACGCATGCTATTTCGCTGCGCTGACCGCGCGGCAGCCCCTGCGGGGCGAAACAGACATCTTGAGCTCTACTCGACACGCGGCAACAAGATGGGCCGGCAACAAATTCTACTCTTCCCTACCCGCCACATGGCAGCGCCACGTGGCAAGGACTGATAGGTAAACAAAAAGACTATTCCACTCCATGCGCCACGTGGCAACGACGTGGGGGGCGAACAAGAAATCAAAATCAACTCACCTCATCACGCGGCAATGCCGCGCGGACCGAACCTATTGTACAATCCCACTGCGCTCGCCACGCGGTAGCGTATGGGGGTCAAAAGTGAAGATCTCTTTCGATTCGCCACGCGGCAACGCCGCGGGGCGGGAAGGCATGGAGCGCCACTCCGTTCGCAATGGGGCAACGACAGGCCGGGGACAAAAGGCCAATTTTAATTTGACGTGCAACGTTGCCAAACCGCACAAATCTATTGCATTCGACGCGGCAATGCCGCGGAGGCGAAAGCCGAAATCTACTCGGCACGGGGCTCCAACGCGGACGACGACGACGACGACGACGACGACGACGACGACGACGACGACGACGACGACGACATCGCCAACGACGAGAACGACGACGGCGAACGACGACGACGGGCGACGATGATGACGACGGGTTCGAATCCAATCTTATCTAGAGGACGCACAAGTCGGCGGCGATCGAGAAGGAAATAAAGAAGAGAAGGCCTTCTCAAAAGGCGGCGGAGCTTCTCCCAAGCTTCTCCGGGCGACTTCTTCCGAACGACTTCTTCCAGAAGACTTCTTCCAAACGATTTCTTCGGGACGACTTCTTCCGGACGACTTCTTCCGAGACGACTTCTTCCGAGACGACTTCTTCTGGTCCACTTTTTCCGAATTTCTTCTTCCGAACGCCTTCTTACGAACGCATCTTCTCCCTTCTCCCCCGTCTCCGCCGCGCCGATCTCTCGAGAAAAACCATGTTTCGACGACATCTTCCGGACGACTTCCTCCCGACCGCTTCTTCCGAAGACGACTTCTTCCGCGACGACCTCTTCCGGACCACTCCTTCCGGAAGAGAGTCCTTCCAGAAGCAATCGTCGCAGAAGAAGTCGTCGCGGAAGAAGTCGTCGTCTTCCAAGCTGCCCCGGGAAAGCGGCCATGACCCCGAGGATGGAGAAATCACCCCCAGCGGCTGCCAGGGCAAGCGCGCAAGTGTTCGCCCCCGCTCCGTTCCTGCTGGCCCAATCGGGCCCGAACTGGGCCCCGGAGGCCGACACCGCGGAAAAGGCACCCGAGACTCAACAAAGTCGTGCCGTCGGAGATCTGGAGGGGGAGGAGGAGGAGGAGGAGGAGGAGGAGGAGGAGGAGGAGGAGGAGGAGGAGGAGGAGGAGGAGGAGGGAGGAGGAGGAGGAGGAGGAGGAGGAGGAGGAGGAGGAGGAGAGGAGGAGGAGGAGGAGAGGGAGGAGGAGCAGGAGGAGGAGGAGGAGAGGGAGGAGGAGCAGGAGGAGGAGGAGGAGGAGGCAGTCACGGGCGTGGTAGCAGACCTTCCCCCCAAGTTCCCGGGGCGGAGGCCCCCCCCCCCCCCCGGGGGCCCCCGAAGGGGCCCGCGCAGGCGGGGGGGCAGCGCCGGAGCCCGCGGCCGCTCGGCATCTCGTGGGGGGGGGGGCCGTCGGGCTCGGCGGGCCGTGGTCGGGGGCGCCTCCCTGCCCTCTGCCACCCCAAACTGTGCTCTCTCTCTCTCTCTCTCCCTCTCTCTTTCTCTCCCTCTCCCTCTCTCTCTCTCTCTCCCTCTCTCTCTCCCTCTCTCTCTTCCCTCTCGAATCAAGGCTTCGCAGGTGCCCAAACAAGGCTCAAATCAAGGCCCTCTTCCACCCCAAACTGTGCTCTCTCTCTCTCTCTCTCTCGGGAGCGGCCAAGAGGGGGGTGTCCAAGAGGGGGGGGGGGGGGGCAAAGCATGGCCGGCGGCACGTGCGCGGCCCAGCGGGGGGGGCCAGGGGCGTCATGGAATAAGAAGAGGCGGCATGACATCTGGGGAAATATCATGGCCCACGCCATGATATCCACCCCCCCCCCTAGTCATCACCCCCCCTCTTTTCCGCCCCCGACTCTCTCTCTCTCTCTCTTGCTCGGGATCCTGGTAGTGGGACACGCGGTCTACTCTCAGGTCGGGCCTGTCCCCCTACAAGGGGGATATTGGACGAAAGGTAAACAAAAAAACTCAAAAAAGCTTAACGGGTGCCCAAACACAGATTCAAAAAATAGTCCCCAGACTATTGTTGACTATTTTGGGATCTTCCCCCTGTAGAGGGACAGGCCCGACTTAAGTCTACCCAAATACGCCCCCTCCAAACGAGGCGGCCCCCACACGCCAAAAGCATGCCGTCGCAAATGGAGCTCCCTCCAGCCGGCGAGCACGGTAGGCTGCGGCGCGCGCCACTGAAGGCGGCTGCCAGGCCCCAAGTGCTTACGGTTGGGGCGCGCGCGCCTGCCATGATGATTACCCCTCCCGGCGCATTGCTATCTATGACCCTGCTTGCTGCTTGCCTACGTTGCAGAGCTGGCGAGCCACCCTCGATCCCCTCCCGCCTTCTCCTGCTCCTTCTGGTCCCTCTACTCCCAGACGTACGACGATCTGTCTTCTGCAATCCAGGACTTGCTTCTCAGATTTCTGCCTTCGCGAAGGCCGCTTTCGGGCCCCGGGAGCGTCAAGAACGCATCCGGGACGCAAGGCTACTGGGGGGAGGGGTCGAGACTCATGGGGCCGCATATTGAGAAGAGCACATCAGCGGATGTCAAGGCTCCTTCTCCCCCCCATCTCATCGTCTCTCCTCTCTTCCCGCCCCCCCCCCCGTCCTACTCTCGCCCTGCCCCCCCCGCCCTCATCCATCCTATCCCGAAGCATCACATCCTGGAGCCTCACCCTCACACTCTCTCCTTCCCCCTCCGTGCTCTCCTCGTTACACACGTGTGGCAGATCGCCCCGCATGAGATGTGCGAACTGTATTCATGGCTGCGTCATACTCATGTGCTGACTGTTCTGGGATCTCACCCCTCCCGTCGCGCGCGGAGCGCGCGAAGGATGGCGAAGGAAGCGCCGCCAAGGTGGCCCCGACGCCGATCCCAGCAATCCGCGCGGGAATCCGGCAGGGTGGGTGGACTCGGATTCTCCCAAGCATCCTGTCGTGTCAGGTCTTCGTTTTGAAAAGAGATCCCCGCGTCTCCTCCTCTTCATCTCCTCATCTCCTCATCTCCTCATCTCTTCATCTCCTCCTCCTCCTCCTCCTCCTCCTCCTCCTCCTCCTCCTGCTCCCGCTCCTCCCTCCTCCTGTCACCCACCGACGGCCCGAATGCCAGCGCTCGCATGCGCCCACCGCGCGCATTTTGGCACACCCCTCACACGTTTCGTGGCCCCACAGGGAGCTCCACTGAAGGCCCACATTCCAGCGCTCGCATGCGCCAGCCGCATACATGCTGGCACACCCCTCACACGCTTCGAGGCCCCACAGGGAGCTCCACCGAAGGCCCACCACCCCGCACGCTCGTGGCCCCATAGGGAGCTCCACCGAAGGCCCACATGCCAGCGCTCGCATGCGCCCACCGAGCCCATTTTGGCACACCCCTCGCACGCTTCGTGGCCCCACAGGGAGCTCCACCGAAGGCCCACATGCCAGCGCCCGCATGCGCCCACTGCGCCCATTTTGGCACACCCCTCACACGCTTCGTGGCCCCACAGGGAGCTCCACCGAAGGCCCACATGCCAGCGCCCGCATGCGCCCACTGCGCCCATTTTGGCACACCCCTCATTCGTGGCCCCATAGGGAGCTCCACCGAAGGCCCACATGCCAGCGCTCGCATGCGCCCACCGAGCCCATTTTGGCACACCCCTCGCACGCTTCGTGGCCCCACAGGGAGCTCCACCGAAGGCCCACATGCCAGCGCCCGCATGCGCCCACTGCGCCCATTTTGGCACACCCCTCACACGCTTCGTGGCCCCACAGGGAGCTCCACCGAAGGCCCACATGCCAGCGCCCGCATGCGCCCACTGCGCCCATTTTGGCACACCCCTCATTCGTGGCCCCATAGGGAGCTCCACCGACTGCGGTGCATACAACGACGGTGCCCACAACTGCATGGGTACTTCAGATTTCGTAATAAAAGGAGGGGGGTCTCATTTTGGGGGGAGGTCTCTTCCAGGCTATCTTGGAGGGCCTGGGGGGGTCTGGGGACGATGTTTTGGAGGGCTCTCCCACGGGGGGGGGTCTGAAATGGCTTGTCTTGGAGGGTCCAGACCCCCTCCCTTTTATTACGAAGTCTGGGGTGTGGGTCCTGCGTCAGGCCAGTCCTTTTAACCCCCCCCGCTGTGCACTGCCTCTCCGCGCTCCGCCTCCCGGTCCCATCGCCGCCGATGCTCGGTCGCTGCTGCACCGGGAGCACTCTGACCCAGAGAGCCCGCAGGGGTTGACACGCGTAGCCTCTTTGCCTTTTCGCTTGGGACTCGATCCAAGACAATTGCACATTGATAGGTTTATTCATGGTTATTTGAATAGTTATGTTGTACCATTTATGGTTATTGAAATATTTGCAATTCGTCAAGGCTTACACAAATTATGCTTATTTGAAATAGTCTGGCGTCCCGGCCGTGACAGCAGGGAGACACTGGGAGAGGGAGAGAGAGAGAGAGAGACAAAGAGAGATTGACGTAGCCAATGCTTCCGAGAGGGAGCAGCACCAACAACGAGCAGGGGTCCAGCGTGTACCGAAACCGCATCGTCGCGATGTCGGGATCCCTGGGAGCGGCCATACACATCTCTGTCTTGGCATCTCGACTTGATGGAGAGAGGCAGCCAGTGTTAGTGCGAGAGAGAGAGAGAGACAGGGACAGAGAGAGAGAGAGAGCGAGAAACATGGGAGGGACAGAAAGAGAGAGAGAGAGAGAGACCAGGGGATACAGAGAGAAATATGTAGATATGTGTATATATATATATACACATGTACATCTCTATACTCAGAGAAAGGCAGATACAGACAAAGAGAAAGAAACATAGAGACCTAAGAAGAGAGGATACTGTGTGTGATTACACGCAATAACTATTCTGGGCGAGCACTGGTGGAATCAATCGAATGATGTGAGAGACGCCACAAAGGCCGAAAGTTCATGCTTGGCTCAAATACAGCGAGGGAGAACAAACCGTGAGAGCCTTCGTAATCTCACCCTAGTCCTCCTTCTGTCATTCCGTGCCCTCCTTCCTCCTTCCTCCTCTTCGCACCGTGCTGTCCAGTCCTCTCGCCTGCGTTGCCCCATTCCTCTCCTTCTCCCTTGTCATCTCCACGGTCTGCTTCCTGTTTCTTCCCGCCCGTTCTCATCGACAACGGTAACAACGATCACAAAGACGACAACGACAGCAACGATCACAACTACCTCCGCGAATGGTGAAGTGGGCCACCCTTACCCCTTCGACGTCGGAAGGGTGGAGGATGCCTTCGTGGTTATCGTTTGCGATCCTTCCTGATATCCCGTCGCTTGCATCGGCGGTCACTCCCGGTGTCGGAGCTCTGCCGGCCTTCCCCTTCCCTCACTCCTCTCCGCCGCGCTCTGCCGGCACAACACCGCTTGACACCCGGGCTCGCTGCCGCGTGCGGGATGCCGGGGACACCCGATCCGCCGACGCAGCTGCTCACTGCCGTGCCACGGCGCTAGGCCGTGGCACGGCAGGATGAGGTAGGGTGGAGTTGGGAAGGGGGGAGGTGGAGGGGGATGAGGAGGAGGAGAGGGGAGGAGGAGAGGAGGAGGAGGAGGAAGGATGAGGATGGAGGAGGAGGAGGAGAGGGGAAAAGGAGGAGGAGGAGGAGGAGGGGGAGGAGGAGGAGGAGGAGCAGCAGGCACAGAGGCTCGCTCGGGTCGGCATAGGGCGCGAGCTCCGCCCCCGGGAGCGCACGCGGAGGGGCCTCCTCTGAGATCCGCGGCAGAGCACAACCGGAGCCCTGGACCTCGTCTTTCGGCTGCAGTCTTCGAGCCGGACCGACCTGTGATGGTCCCTGGGCCGGATGCCAAGCGAAAGCGCCCAGTGTGGACAAGATCGCACAGCCCGGATCTCAAGGCAAGGCTGCGGGATCGCCTCAGGGGGAGGGCGCTCTCTGTCGCCCGCGGCGGCAAATGAGAGGAGGAGGAGGAGGAGATGGAGGAGGAGGAGGAGCGGTGTAAACCCAGGGGTCATCAACGATGTTGGAGTGAACTCTCCCTCCCTCTTCGTAGGCCCCCCCGTCGGTCAATTTCCATTGAGGGGACTGCCTCGTTGGAAGACACTCGTCTGAATACCCTGAAGCATGCCAAAACATTGCTCTCGGGATTCCAACGCCACGGATCAACCTGACTGTTGCGTCTTGACGATCCTGAGTCGTGCCAGAACGCCATTTCTAGGACTTCAACACAGAGAACAAACGCAACAGTTGCGCCTGCATAATCCTAAATCCTTCCAGGACACTATTTCTGGTACGCTGATGATGAGAATCCGCGAAGCTCTTGCATTACAAAAAAACGAATGCGCGCGGCGCTAAGGCGAGAGCCACATTTTGAAAAAGAGCCGCCCTCAATCTTTGAACTGCTTGCAAACTGTTAAAACGAATGTGCGCCGCGCTAAGGCGATAGCCACATTCTGAAAACAACCCGCCCTCCATTTGTAGAACTGCTGCCTGTGTTGACGCTCGAGAACCATACACGGTGAGGAAATCTCAGGCGAAACGCCCGGCCCGCCCTACAAACTCGCCTCGGGGTGCGACAGGGAGAAATCGTTCGTAGGGAAAATGAGCGGAATGGATGAGGAGGAGGAGGAGGAGGAGGAGGAGGAGGAGGAGGCGGAGGAGCGCTCGGGCAGCATAGCCAAGAGTATGGCTGTCTCCGAACAGCACGGTCGGCTCCTCGGTCCTGAGCCCGAGCCGGACGCCGCCACCCCGGCACGAGCGTCCCCAAGCGCATCGTTGCAACCTGTGGCCAGCTTCTTCCAAATTCGGCGCCCAAGCGCTCACACAAAGACCCAAGCAGTCCACGCGTTCCAAGCGGAGGATTCTCATTGTTTTCCGCCTCTGGGAGCCCTCGCCAGGGCCCAGGACAATGACAAGGCCCAGGACAATGACAAAACGACTCTGGATGCATAACCTGCCCTGGGGAAAGGGTCGGGACCTTCTGGGGACCCCGTACCGAAAACAAATAAAACATCGCATATCTGGGGAAGCAGGAACCTCGACAAAGGACCCATGAAGAGCCCCGAGGAAATCAGAAACCATCATCTTGCGAAGACAGAGGTGTTAAATATCGGGTCTCCTCAACAGGACCTCTAACAAGTCGAACTCTTCGCGGAACTTCAAGTTCTTCTCCATCTCTAGATGCTGACGCACACGGAAGCGCGTCCGCGAGTTCCAAAGCCACTGCTTGGTGGGCGGCTCCTGGGGACGAGGGAGAGAGACACGGCGAGGTCGATCTTGGTATGGTCGGGAAATTTGGAGGACTGTGTCGTGGCGGCGGCCCTGGCAACACGCTATTCTTTGGCGGCGCGCACAAGGGGGTGGGGGGAGGGGGGAGAGCTTCTTAGAATCATGCCCTGGCTTTCTGTAGAAAAGAAAGAAAAAAAAAAAAAGAAAAAAAAAACAAAAAAAAAAAAAAAAAAAAAAAAAAAAAAAAAAAAAAAAAAAAAAAAAAAAAAAACACAAAAAAAAAAAAAAAAAAAAAAAAAAAAAAGAAAGAAAAAAAAAAAAAAACAAAAAAAAAAAAAAAAAAAAAAAAAAAAAATCAAAAAAAAAAAAAAAACAAAAAAAAAAACAAAAAAAGAAACAAAAAAAAAAAAAAAAAAAAAAAAAAAAAAAAAAAAAAAAAAAAAAAAAAAAAAAAAAGAAAAAAAAAAAAAAAAAACAAAAAAAAAAACAAAAGACAAAAAAAAAAAAAAAAAAAAAAAAAGAAAAAAAACAAACAAAAAAAAATAAAAAAAAAAAAAAAAACAGAAAAAAAAAAAAAAAAAAACAACAACACAAAAAAAAAAAACAAAAAAAAAAAAAAAAAAAAAAAGAAAAAAAAAAAAAAAAAAAAAAAAAAAAAAAAAAAGGGCGCCGGCCTTACATCTATAGATAAGGCCCGCGCCTTCTAAGAAGCAGTGGTGCTTCTAAGAAGCCCTCCCCCCTCCCCCGACCCCCCTCTGCGCGTGGCTGAACTCTATTCGCTGCAAGCTGATAGCGTGTCGCTCCGCTCCGCGGGGTGGCAGGCTGGGAGAAGGCTCTGGACGTTGACGCTTGGTTGGCGTGTGGTGATGAAGCGCGGTGGGCCAGAACCGGCGGCGCGACTCGCCAAGCAAAGGTTGCTGACAGTGTGAGTGTCTTCCGGGTCGATGCAAGCGATCATGAGTTCAAACATTTTGCATCCCCGATTAAGTTCACTGGGTCGTCCTCGTGTCGATTGCCGTATCGGCTCTATCACCTTTTAATGGCTGGCTCGCTTCTGCTGCAGCTGAAACTCGACACCGATTAGCGTCGTCATCTGGCACGCTAGCGTGAATTTCTGGAAACGCCCCGCGCCTTTCAGCTGGATCGCGTTCCAGCTCCATATCGGGCCCCAGATCGAGCCGCATCGGTGACTCATCGGCAATGCAGCGCGATCCTTCAACCCCATCTGCTCCGGCCCCGTTATGCCGGCCAATGCACCACTCTGGGGGTCGCCACTTCCCCGAGGAAGTGTTTTTGTGAAGGACATGGGTCCACCAGAACACGCCAGAGCTCTCCCCAAACTGCCCCAACGTCCGAAAACCACCCCGAGGAAACGCCATTTCCTCGAGGAGCTCGCGAAACCCCCAGTGGTGACCCCCCTTGGCACTGCCCGGGCATGCGGCGGGGAACTGGTGGCAGACCCACCGGGGAGGGAGCGGCGCCGCTCCCAGGCGGCCCCGAGCTGGCTCGAGGAGGCCACGAGGGTGGCCAGATACACCCTCGAGGCAGCCCGTGGACGTCGGGGACGGCCCAGCGCCTCCCACGCCACCAGGGATGCCGAGGGAGCTGGCTGGAGCAAGCAACTTGTGCTTCCAGTGGTGCGGTCCACCTTCTCGCAGTCTCGCCATGCGGGTTCCCGCATGGCCCCAGCGCGCGTGGCCAGATGTCGGCCCGAGGAAGCCCCCAAGAGCTCCCCAAGATGCCCCTTCCCTGAAGGTCGTACACAAAGTTGCCCACCAGCTAGTGCGTCCATGGCTCAACGACGTGCAAACAGTTTGCTCAAGACAGCCCCAGCCCCCCCCCCCCGCCTCAAAAGGCTCAGCGATCTCCTCAATCGCCTCCCCCGGATTGCATACCATGCCATGCCCCATAACCAAAATACGTATCCACCCAAGAACGCCCGTCCGACTGTATGGCATCGCTGTGAAAGTTGACTTTGTAGGGAGCTGGTGAATGCCCCAGTGACCTTCCAAACCTGATTGGCCAGGCAGTTTCAGAGTGCGCGCACGGTGCCCAGGAGCGCTTCCTCGGGCGCCGGCCGACGCCCCATGCGCGTTGCCCCCTTCAGGGGCTTCTCAAGACAGCGGGCGAAAATGCACCACCAATGCATCCACCTCGTTTAAACTGGATCTCGGCGGCGGGCGAGGGGGGAAGTGAGGGGGAGAAGGCCCTTTCAGAAGGCGGCGGGACTTCCGGAGACGTCGGCTGTGCCCTCGGGGAGGGATTGGACAGCTTCTCGGAGGGCCGGGGGGCTTCCGAGCCTTCTGAGGAGGCCCGCCCCGTTCCCAGACCCCCGACGTCATGAATTTTTCATGACGCGACCCCCAGAAGTCTGGACCCTTCCCCGGGGACCGGTTCTTCGTCCTGCCCTTAAGACTCATTAACTTAAAAAACTAAGTTGTTATAAAAATTATCAGCTCCTTATTATAATTTATTTAAATTATTTTTTATTGTTGTAGAATTAATTTGAAACTACTGACAACTACTTCAAATTATAGTTTCCAAAATTAGTTTCCAACATTAGTTTCCGTATTCCGCTTTGACGGCGGATCGAACCGATGTCACGGCTTGTCTTCATTGTGCTAATGTTGCTACTGTTTGTCGCTCATTTCAATTATGGCAACGTTGATTTGCGTAAGATGCGTTGGCGTTCGCGTCTCTGTGGTGCCCACGTGTTGTTGCCTGTTTCATCGACGCATGTGTTCCGTTGAAGCAGTTTTGGACCAAGCCCAAAGTTGCAGAGGAGGCGCGCGTTTCGGACGCGATGTTGGGCCGCCTGACGCGCAGGCGTGTGAGGTCGAAGGCAGATTCGGATATGAGTATCAATTCTTTGGTCGGCGTGTTGGACAGCTTGTACAAGAGCGAGGGCACCCGCGACCTGTGGCGGATCATCGGGCATTTTGTTTCGCATTGAATGTTTCTTTTGCATTTCCCGCGCCAGTTCTGCTTTGTCATGAGTGTTACCATGTTGGGCCAAATCGCAAATGCTGCCATCGCCTGTCATGTGATTTGCGTTGCATTAGAAGTGCGTTTTGTCATGTCACGCGCAACCGTTGCAAGCAACAACCATGCATGCTTGTATGCTTGAACGTGCCACATTTATGTCCAATGTCGTTCCATTGTGAAATCACACGCCTTGCAGCCCGATCCGCAAGCACGTGACGGAGAACAGCATCCCAGATCCCGCGATTATGGCCAACTTTTCAGGTCTGTTCACGGACATCGCCAAGACGTCACCGAACATGGTTGTACACCAGGTGAAGTCACGCGCAGCCATATACAAGACGCACCAGCAGGCGCTTTGTCATTATTCTTTATTGTTCGATTGACGCAACGAAGTATTCATATAGTTGACATGCTTACAACGCATCATTCTTCAAATGTTTTTTGACATGATTTCGCAATTGCAATATGATTTTATATGCGCATGTGCGTGTTACGCATGTTTCCTTGCGATTCCCCTCCGCAGTCTTCCGTCCACATGTGTGACCTTCCTCTGGAGCACTTCTGCCACGACACTGCGTGGTACATCAGGACGCGTCGGGTCCGCAAGGGGTCATGACGCAGAAACGCGACGGGCGAAGGGATGCACGGCGCAGCATGGGGGGAGGGGAGGGAACTGCGGACAGGGAGGGGAGCTGGGGCACTGCGCCAAATGCCTCAAGGATGGCTGCTTCCAAGTACAGAGACGCCCTGCAGCACGAGGCAAAGCTAAACGCTTTGACGTACAAGGATACCATTTTATGCACCTTACTTTGAACGAAAAATGGCGTTGTCTTCTCGAAGCGATGAGATTATAATGACGTTTCTTTTGTTCTGTCAGCACGCGCAACGTGATCGTCATTTGCGCGCGTCCGTCGGGTTGCTTTCGGTCGCGCCAGCATCTTGAAAGACTTTGATGCAACATGGTGAAGCATGTAGGTTTCACATGTGACGCTACATGTGCACTGCTTGACAAAATTTCTTTCAATTCTGGCACATCTCTCTGCCGCGCTTGATTCTGCAGGCAACCGCGGCAGAGATGGAGCAGATTCAAAAGGTGTTCAACCATATGACAGTGGATAAGCAGCCCGCGGCACCGTTCGGCACGTGGGACGAGACTCCTCGATCCCTCTTGGCTTTGGAGGACAGCCCCAACACAGCCAGTAGCTGCGCTGCTTCTTCGAGCGACGGGTTCGGCATTGTCGCTACAATTTTGGGAACTGACCTCGACGCGCGCTCGCCGCCGCCGAAGGCCGCGCGGCGGCCCTCGCCTGAGCAGCAGAGCCCGTTTATGTTCCAGTTCAAGTCTTCGGAATGCATCGAACAGCCATTTTCGACGACCATGAATGAGAAGGATCACGACTTGTTTTTGGCTGCTCTGAAACCTGACCCAGTTCCCGCCGCTCTCGGCGGGCAGAAGAAAGCAGCAAAGAGCAACAGCACGAAGAGCCCTGACAAGGCGTCCACCCCCTCTGTCATGAAGAAGCGCAAACTGCCCAGCCCCTCGGCCAAGACGACGCCCAAGAAGGCCAAGCCGACGCCTTCTGGCAAGAAGAGAGCCAAGCTGACGCCTTCCAGCCAGAAGAAGACGGCCCCAGCGGGCCAGAAGAAGACTCCTTCGAAGGACACATTTCTCATTTTAGTATGCGTTCTTATCTGCGATTGTTTTTGCGCGGCTCGATAACAGCTCGCATGCGTTATGTAAGGGATGTTGATCAGAGCAAGCAGTTGCGCAAGCCGTCGGTAAAACATAGGTTTTGGGCCACCATTGACAGCCCGCCACGGGCAAGACCATGTACCATTGTTTGTGTAAGGACGGCGCTCTCGCGGACACGCGCGTGATGTTCTGTTTATCTCTTACTTGTGTGCACCAAACATTGTCAAACAGACATGCGATCCTGGAAGACGTTGTGCCTCTGTCGGAGGTCATTGGCATCCAGAAGAAGGAACTCCTGACGAAATGGAAGAATTACCACAGTTCGGCGCGGCACG